TTGAGAGGCATGATGTCACTTGTTCACAATTCCTCTTAACCCATAATACTTGACAAACTGTCAATTGTTTGTTAATCAATGCTAAATAGTTTATAATCAATGAAAACAGTTAATAGAAACTCTCAATTGTTTGTTAACTGATGTCAACAATTAAGAGAATCTCTCAATTGTTTATTATTCAGTGCAAACAATTGAAAGAAATACCCCCAATTGTTTATATTCAATGAAAACAATTGCGTTAACTTTCAATTGTTCATTAAACAATGATGGCAATTCAGAGAAACTCTCAATTGTTCATAATTCAGTGCAAACAATTGAAAAAAAATACTCTCTATTGTTTATATTCAATGGAAAGAGTTGATAGAAACTCACAAATGTTTGGGATTGTTGCTATTGGTATTGATTTCTAAAAGTAGCTTGAAAAGGTGAATTCCTTCATTCCGTTTTATATATTGAGAGATCGCTTCATACAGATTTTTTAATTGAAGAAACCTAATTGAACAGCAAATCATTAGCAATTTGACATAATAAATTTGGTTTTCTGCATGACATTTTTTTCTTTATCAATTTCAGTAAGATCTACATATTTTGCCGAATACACTACAGAATCAATGATTATACCAAGGTTTTATCCATTTTATGAATGACGTTTCACAATCTTACTTGTGGTAGATCATCTTTCGTGAATTCAGTTCGGATACTAGGAGATGGTTTGCTTTTCTGTAAAAAATCCTTTAGGCTAGCATCTTGGGAGATGTAATCCAGCAACTGAACATATGCATCCAGAGAATCAACGCTACATCAAACAAATAAATGTTAGAAAAGACAATTTAAGTTATACATCAGTAGTTTACTTTTTATCCTTCAAATCATTGTATTTCAACAAGAAATGGTCAGAGTCTGGAATATCCTGGCAGAGACGTGTTAAATGTTTCTGGATAACAACCTGGCAACCGGCTGTATTCACAGATTGGCTCTCTTGTAAGTATTCCACCAGTTTTTCGGGGGTCACTTTACTGGTTCTTCCACTAAAATGAAATAATATAAGTTGGGATAGAGAGCTATACTAGGGTTTACCCTAATGATGTGAGAAGAGCATTGACAATGTCATATAATTTAAATTCGCTCATTTTCAAATTTATTATTGAATTCAAATCGTATTCATATTATTATTACAGAATATCTGTAGTGTTCTGTTATTATTGAAACAATTCAAATTATAAATGTCAAAATATTTTCAGTTCTTCTTCTTCTAGTCATGGGGTGGTAGAAGCCTACGATAGTTAGCCAGCTTCACTTGAAAATTTGTAACCCTGGTAAATAGATGAATAAATATACTTTGGAAAAAATTTTTTTGGCTTTCTACATTCTATCTTTATACAAAAATGTGTGAACCTTCCGAAAAAAGTAAGAAAGTGTTTTTTTTTGGGAAAAAAGGTGCCACAGGCGGGAGAAAAAGTTGAAATATTGGAACTTCATTGCGAATTGAATTACAAAACATATGTTATGCTTTTCACCTTTTATTTACATATATTATAGGAAACCCTGAAATAATAAATTACTTTCAGACCAGTGTTGACTGAGCAATATGTTCTTCATCGTGAACATTTTTGAATTGTAATTTCTTTTTGGGAGAGAAATATTTTGGCTTTTTATTTCTCCATCTTCATACAAAAAAATGTGGTAATCATTCAAAGACAGGGAGGAAAAAATCAATTTCAAAAAATTAACTCTAAACAAAGGTGAGTATATCATGCAAAGAAATGAACAAACTGGAAGAAAATCCCTCTCGAAACATTGAATTAAACGAAAAAAAAAAAATTCAAAACAAATACTTTTATATGAACACTGAATTATACAAAAAATACATTTCTCTACTACTACTACCCTACCCTACACCCTACATTATGAAAGAAAGGACATTGGCAGATAAAGATCTTCAGATGATGTGGTGCTGCAGGTTTTTCCAGGTTTTCAAGCAGCTGAAAAAGCAAATGCGCCACTGGAATCAATGAAGTCGCCAGAGGCTCCAATAAATTCAATGCATCGCCAGAACACTTCGTGACACGACTATCGTCAAACTTAAACCAGTCCGTTTCATCTTTGACCAAGGCGTAATAATGACCAAATTCAACGCCAGAACCACAG